CACGTAGTGTTACGTTCATATTTTGATGGGTTATATATCATGCCCGATTTTGTAAGGGGTACACTGCAATTATTTGATGTAGACACATAGACAGAGGAAGACTGAGGAAGAGATCTGTTTCTACTGTATGTTGTCAGTTTTAGCCACCTATGAGTTTTCGTGTTTGGGGAGGATTTTCCTTGTTGCATACATACACTGTTTGTGAGTAAAACTTGCGTTATAGCAGTGAAATCTGCTCCACAATGTGAATCAGGGGTCGAAATTAGCGGTATCGCGATATCCGCGGGATAGTAGATTCTTGTGTTGGATACCAGATTTCAATGCTTGGTATCCCGCCGGGATAATAAAAAAAATCTTCAAAATCAGGATAGTGGTTGTTGAGTTATCAACTTTATACGGCAGCGCATCTGAACGAGTGCGCGTAGACCGAGTGCGCGCGATCTGAGCAAGCTCAGGCACCTTTACTATGCCATACTAGCGTTATACAGCAGGCATAGCATATTTGCAAGCGTAAGCGATGTTGATCATAAATGTGATGTGTATACATTGTATCAAGCAAACCAGACAATGCGTCTAGACAATACGTCTGAAGTGTACTTGTCTGTGCATATCTGTGAATCAGTTTTCATGTTTTTATATAATAATTACATTACATATTAATAATTTTCAAATGCTATTATTGCATATTTCAAGATTTTGGATACCAACATTGTTGAAATTACTATCCAAAAAATGGGATACCAGATATTTGGGGGGGATACCAGATTTCAATACTTGGTATCCAAAATGGATACCATAATAAAAATCTAATTTCGACCCCTGAAACCCTGTGGTGACCCTGTGGTGACCCTGTGGTGAAGGAGGCACGTTTTTTGTTTTAAAATTATGCTTAGAAATTTATTCTTTAGAATTCAAGTGGGAATATAATACTATCCTTGACCTGTGCACTAGATGACTACCCATGCAAGTATTTCCATGCTGGTGTTCCTTGTTACCAAGGAGAGAAGTGCAAATTTTCACATAGTCTTTTAACCAGTGAGACAAGGCCTGTCTTGGAAAAGGTAATAGAACCTTCCTTACTTTTCCCCGTTAACATTGGTGTTGTGTTCGTCCAGCCAAAAAGCACCATTTTTATTGCCGTATGTAATTCTATTCGCGGTTGGTTTTAGTTTTAGTATCGCTTTTTTCCACCAGATGGAGGATGAGGCTATCTGACAAGGTATTGCTTTAGTATCACATTTCAGTGTTTCAAAGTGATCTTTTTGTATTAGATCCTGATGAAGGAACAGGAGAGGAAAGATCAAAAGAGACGCGAACACTCAAATGAAGAAGACAGTCCTGAAATCAAACAGTCACCTGTAAAACGCAGCCTACTTGGGATGCCTCCCATCACTGTCATCCAGGAAATGCAAACCCTCAAGGAAAAGGAGAAGACATTGCCGCGGCTCTTAGACCTAGAGTTGCATCCCGTACCAATCAAGGAACCGTAAGTGTGCCGAACTTTGTGCTTTTAGGTTGTCACCTATTTAATTTGTGTGTGGTATTTGATTTAGACATTACAAGCTTAAATGACCACGGACAAAGGTTAGGGGAAAAATCAAGCCGAGAATTGTCACATTTACACTGATGTTAATCTTCGGTTGTCTTTACTTTGATAAAAAATATTTTCATGGGATAAAACTTGTTACTGAGCAATGCTCCACCATACATAATATTCATCATCAGTATTGCTATATCATAGGTCAGGCTGTTTTTTACCCGAACTGTCTAACATCGTTCACATGCCGATTAGTGTTTGACTGCATGAGCTTTAGTTATTCTAGACGAAGAACCAGATGTTAAATCTAGATTCTGCCTTTGTTACAGACCGAGTTTCTACAAAGAAGTGGAAGAGAGGTCGCCAGAACATGAGAGACACAGCAGGCCGCCGATGGCACTGAGAGGGTCGGGCCGACCTCGCTATCGTGACCCTGTTCACGACTTCATGGACAGGGGGCGCAGTCACGGGCGTGGCAGAGGGCGTGGCCGGGGTCGGGGCATGCAGCACAGACAGCAGCAGGCATGGGACAGTGGGCAGGACTATTTCAGTGACGAATATCAGGATTTCCCGAACAAGGGCTACAACTATGACGAGTTTGCCAATGAGCACAATAACGGCAACGAAGGTAGTTTGTCTCATCTCTGTTCTAGTATTTTATTTTCATTTATTTTTGTTATTTGAAACCAAGATAAATTGTTAATTTGTTATATATAGTTCAATATTATATATATATATATATATATATATTTACTGCCAATTATCCTTAAAAACTGCCTTTTAAAACTAGTTTTTATTATAATGCTCATTGATCAGTAGCATCAAGAGTAGATAATAACACGAGTGAGCCACCCGATTCCCGCATTTTTAACCGATTTTTCTCATCAAAATTTGCCACCAATAAAGAAGCAAGTGTATACGTTCCTCAGCTTATTATGACCACTAATCACTCACCTTCGTGGTACTGATATTCGTTTACATATATTTGCTAGCATATTGCTGTAAATCGTAATCTTGCACGAGCTGAATTCGATCAATTTACCGCTAAAATGGTGACTTGTTGTGACCTGTTTAGACAACTTGAGAAGCTATCGGGGCGCCAATATTTAGCAACGGACGGTTTCCAAATCATTCGTGCCCCGATAGGGGTTTAATGTACTTGATTACCTGCGCGTGCGTAATGTGATACTTACTGCAAACTACTACAGAGAATATTGTTATTATTGTATTATTACTTATGTAGGATAGTATGTCAATTTCTAAAATGCCGAAATCGGGTGTCTCACTCTTGTGTTATTATCTACTCTTGGTAGCATCAGAAGTAGATAATAGGGAAGGAGTGTAACTTCAATAAACAAGGGAAATTCGTCATTTACTAGCCTTAGAATACCTACGATTTACTACGCGTAACTTAACCAACTTGAGCTCAAATCGTACACAATAAACTCGTAAACGAGTCGTTAGTAGCTGCCTATTGTTTCAAGTTAGGTGGGTTATGGAGTCGCTGCCAACAGAATGGAGAATCGTGTTGTACGTTTTAGTCTGTATCTCCGGATTGCGGGTGTATACGAGGAAATGATTTCGCACGATGCTAGGCGAATGTACTGTGTACGATTTGAGCTCAAGTTGATTGAGTTACGCCTAGTAAATCGTAGGTATTCTAAGGCTAGTAAATGACGAATTTCCCTTGTTTATTGAAGTCACACTCCTTCCCTATTATCTACTTCTGGTAACATTGATGCACCAATGTTTGTTGTTTACGCCACAAACTATAATAATTCTGAACTGATCAGAATTGCTCACGGACTACCAAATTACAAAATCTAATAGTCTGTATGACTACCGGACAATGAAGGTTAATCTCGCATCCTGTATATATATATATATATATATATATATATATATATATATATATATATACACATATATGCATATTACATTGTATTAGCTATATTATAAGATTGTAGGGCTGTCCCTTAGAAACCGGGTCGTTTTCGTCACAGACACGTATATGGATATGTTGCTCAGATTTTAGAGTGGTATTTGGAATGGAACATTCACGAACTTTCAGAAACAAGTGAAAAATATCAAAAGTACGAAAAATTATAATTGCTGCTGTTGTCGTAGTGCGCAGTGCATGTTGGGATGGCTCACAGTGCATTCTAAGTGCTTAGTGCAGTAGCTCAGGCAATGACGTCACCAAGAGTTGCATATTTACAAGGCAAGCCGAGACTTGCTCCTCCAGAGATGCATATGCGGGTATTTTAAACTGTTCAGGAGACTACATACATAAAAATCTACACATACAGTACTCATGCGGATTAGTTCATGGATTTGGTAAAGTAAACTGTTAGAAACTTCTTTTAGTAACAATGCCAATTTAAGTCTAACTATTTGTCACTACCATATGGTCACTCGCAGGGAACATTTATCCTTTCCTCCTAATTTACCCTCATTGACTGCCAACTACATCTACTCCATCAACCCAACACACATCCATTGGATGGGTACTGTGCTAATGAAATAATGTAAGTGATTGCGATAAGATAAAAACGAGAGTTTGCTTTTCGAAGTTCAAAGCAGTGTAAGAAAATAGTTTGATTCTCAAATTTGATTGTATTTTATTTACAGGGTTCAGTCCCTACCAGCAGCAGGGTTACCACAGCGAAAACGAGCAATTCCTTCAGCAGCAGCAGCAACAAGTAGATAAATTTTCTGAGGCTAACGGTGAGCGACAGTTTGAAGAAGAGGACATGCCAAGAAGGGAGGAAGACCAAAGGTCAGACGACGAAGCTGCTGACCACCGGCTGAAGCCTGACGATGCAGACAATGTGCTCGCACACATGCCGGCCACGCAGCGCCAGTTGTTTCTGCGCATCCAGCAGCAGCAGCAGCAACATCGTGAGAGCGAGGGCGATGAGGAGCAGGGCAGCGTCGACGGTGAGGTTTCGCAGTCATCAACGTTGACCACGATGACCGACGCCCGCGACTCAGGTACAATCACTACCCTGTCACAGTTGTGTCTCCTGATCATAATGGATTTAATTTATACAACTGTCAGATTGCAGATGCACAGTTGAGGTGCCTAAATATCATTAACATGAACAGTTAAATTATTTCACTATTATCTATATACACTTAAGGTGCAGTTGAGCCACCCAAGCCAAAAAAGGAGGATGAGGACTGGTATTCTAGTGATGAGGAGGGAGACGGGGCACTTACTGCAGTCCTAAAACAGATGAGAGATGAGGTATGGCTTTTATAAAATTCATACACCTGTTATAAAATTGTCTTTTGCTGCATCAAGGGTATCTAGGCTTGTGTGCAGAGTAACACTTAGTTTAAACGTTAGTAAAGTTTAAACGCTTGATGTCGTCGAACGTTTTTCTATATAACTATTTCCAACGAGCCCTATACTATATATCGTCTAATATATATCTAATAGTGTTTTATTTACAATCAGAAGCCGTCGTCTATACTGACTGCGGCATCTAGTTCCTCCCAAGAGACCTCTAGCCTTGCACAGTCAAGCAAAAAGGTGACGCCACCAACAACATCGGCAATCGATGTTGCATCAATGCTGTCCGCTCTTCGCAAGAAGGTGACGCAGGTAATGTCATGGCCATATTAGAAAAGTTGTTGATTTCGCATATTTCGTGTGAAGGTGTAACCCACGTGACATGTGTGCCTTACTTTCAAACCAACATTTTGCAAAAGAGTTTGTGGATCGCTATTCTGATTCGATGTCATCTATTGTGTTTGCTTGTCACAGGTACAGCAGCTGCAAAAGCCAGCAGATGTGGATATGAGGATGGATCCGAAGAAGCCGCAGGATGTAGACCTGCGAGAGCTGACCTACGACCCCGGCAGACGAGAAAGGCGGAACTCCAGCAGTAGCTCTTCCTCGGGGACCAGGCGACCTAGTGGGGAGGGTCGCTTCCACCTGATGCCTGTCATGGTGAGAAAGCCGGATAGGGGAAGTCTCCGGCAGATGCTCGTGCAGAAGAAAGGTTCCGATCCCAACCTGGAGAAGGACCCGCGTGTGCAAAAGCTTCTCAAGGAGAATCCGTCTCTGCCGGAGATCCTGTTGCCGGACGTTCCCGACATTAAGATGAACACGTCGCTCAGCGGCATGCCGACACTGCCAGACATTCAACTGCCGACGATCAACAAACCTAAGCCAGGAGACCCGCGGCTGAAGGTGCAGAAAGCTGATCCGAGAGCTGCTACGGCGACGACAGCGAGCGCAGACCCAAGAAGTAAGGCCGTCGACCCGAGAGCGGCAAAGTCAGCAGACATGCGCGGTGTGGGTGCTGCTGCAAACAAGCTGGCTGACCCCCGTCCTACAAAGGTCGATCCACGCCTGGCGCGCATACAGAGTCAGCAGCCTGGCAATATGTCGCCGTCAGTGAGTGCCGGCGACTCGAGGTGGCCTGCAGCGTCTATGCTGCCTAATCTTGGAGCTGGTGGAATGCCTTTAGGGGTGCCTATTCTGCCAAATGTTCCTCCAGCTCCCCCTGCCCTGCCTAGTTTAATGGGACTAGCACTGACCGGTGGACCACCACTAAGTTTAAGAGTACCCTTGGGCATGTCTGTAGGTCTGAGGGGAGAAAGTATAGGTGGTGGTTTTCTAGGACCCCACGGTGGACGCATAAGGCAGCCAAATTTAAATTATCCGATGCCGCCGGGTGTCATGGGCCCTGGACCATTCGGTCACGTGCAAGGGCCGTTCCCGGACAACCTACGCATACCCCTAGGTTCACGAGATCCTCGAGGGTCACGACTGCCCAGGCCTCCCCAGCCACGACCTCTTTTTCAGGGGATGGCAGCAGGAGTTAAGCTTGATGGCAGTATAGATGAAGAGGCAGGAGAGCAGGAGCCTTCTCCCACTGTTACGAAGCGTAACGACATTGACGCGCTGCCTCAGACCGACGAAACTAAGGACGGTGAGGGCGCAGCCGTCGGAAAAGTTGCCGACAAGAAGTGCAAGTTCGAATACAGTTCGCCGCTTGGAGCGTTTGATTCACAGCCAGCAGCCGATGGCTATAACAGCTACAATCGGCCAAAACGAAAACAAGAGCCCACACATGTGGATACGAATCCCCCACCATTGACCAGAAAGGCAACTGTGGAAATGAAGCCAGCTCCGAAGCAGGACATTGATGAGCGAAAGAGTGATGTTGACGAGCGCGTGACAGCAGAAGCTCCGAAAGTGAACCTCGTACTAGACGTTCCAAAACCTGATAAACCGCTAAGTGACGTGTTTAAGAGCTTTGATCCCACGGCTTCACCATTTTGCTAGTCTCCCTGAATGTGCCACTACCCAGCTTAACACAACCCACACTGGTTGGCAGCAGGTTGTGTTCGATGTTCAATGATTTACTGCCAGTGCGAAGAAGTAGTGAAGTAGTGAAGTCAGTTCCTTGAACATCATTGTGCAGACAATTCTGAGCATGTGCTATGAAAGCCCACGACTTTCTGTCCTTTGCTACTTGGCAACTAGAGGAATAAAGGAATGAATGTACAGTGTATGAAAACAGTTACTTACCATGGATAATATTATGGTGAATATACTGCTGATCTTGCAACAAATTTTATTAGGAATAACATAATATTGAATAGTAGTTATGGGTGATGCCAACAGCTAAGCCTGCTTGCCTGTCGTCGTGCCTAGGCTGTTCCGTGGCAGCATTCTGACAATTGCCTAAATTATGTGTATCAGTAGACTTGTTTGGCAGGTTTTTTTTAGCTTAGGCAACCTACCAAATATAGTCTGTAATTATTGACTTGTTGAAATGTTATGTACTCGCTGTAAATTCTCAAACAGCACGATTTATGTATTTAACTGGTTCAATTATGACGTACACAGCAGGCATACATATGGGAAATTGTTGTTCATAGTGAGCCCTAGTGGGTTGTATTGAATGTATGATGTAAATATTGAAGTAATATGAAGTAAATTGTAATGTTTTTTTCCAGAAATTTCCTTTTTATTGTGTTATTTTTCCAATGATACCAACTATTATCATAGCTTACATGTGACAAAGAAATCTTTCATCAAAGTAATCCATGAACTTATCCACGATAAGCTTTATTCGTCATGTTACATGCAACCTCCTTTCACCATCAACTCTATATAAGTCACTATAATCATATAAGCTTTGTAAGGCCACAATGGCCTTTACGGTCACAATAGTTAACGAACGTGCCTGATAGTTTTTGCAGTTGTTCGCAATCTAGTAATTTGCAGAATTCCTCCTTTGTGTTGTGAGAGTCTAATGTTTATTTATTGAATTTTATCATTGCAATAAAAGTGAACTGCAGTTAGGAGAGATGGTGTCACATTCACAATACCAACTATAACTAGAAAGAAGGCACTCGGGGAGTGCGAATCCTCCGCATACGCGATCACTACACCTGTGATATTTTCAAGAGCTAATAATACCTCTTGTATTATTAGCTCTTGATATTTTGTAGGCTGAGGTTGCTACTTGTAATAGATGACGTTGACCTTGGTTTGTTTTTTGTGCTGAACCGATCGACTATCGCTCAAGGGGTCGTTGTCGTATCAGGTACTACAGATATGTACCCGAGGTACATATATGTATACACAAAGTGTACCAGACTTGTACTACAGAAGTGTACCCTAACCCTAAACCTAACCCTAGCCCTAACCCTAACTCTAACCCTAACCCTAACCCTAAACATACCTCATATGAAAATATAAACAACTTTTTTGTTTCAGAGGGTGACTAGCATTTTTATGGCATTTATTGAAAGCATGAAATGTGCTTTCCACGACGTTGCCGAGAAGGAGTAAGGTGTCTGATAACCTTTTCGACCTCGAGAGGAGGGCTTAAACATGGATTTGTTTCTGTTAGAAAAGAATTTGCTGCCGGTGTTTTCGCTAGATTAGATCTTTACATGCCTGGATGTATGAGCTAGGCTTACAATGTCACACTTTGAAATTTCAAAAGCTAATTTGGTGGAAGAAGGTTTTTGCTTCCTTAAATCGTATAATTTCTATGGCATTCTGTACTGTCAGTGGTTACATGTACTGTATGCCAACTGCCAGCTGCTAGTTGGTGGTGGTAGTACTGTGTGAGTTTTTGCCTGCATTTAATTTATGCAGTAATCCGAAACGAGTTGTGATGTCGAAGCTGGGGGTCAAAGGTCAAAGGTCATGAGTGTAAAAGAGGGATAACAATACCTCCTTAACTTAAGCCTCGTCTACACGACGAACCTTAAGTTCGAGTTAAGCTAACTCGAGTTAGCGATTATGTAAGCGTCTACACGACAAGCAACCGATAGAGCGATTATTACCGAGTTATTGTGCATGCGTGCGTGCGTGTGTATGTAAACGTGCGTTTCGTGTGTGCGTGCGTGTGCACGTATACGTGCGTGCGTGCGTACGTACACGTGCGTTCGTGCGTGCGTGCGTGTGCACGTACACGTGCGTGCATGCGTGAGTGCGTACATGTGCGTGCATGTTGTGCGTGGCGTGCATATGCACGTACAGCGCTGCGTGCATGAGTGTGTGCGTGTGGTGCAAGTACACGTGCGTGCGCGCGTGCGCAGGTACACGTTGGCGTGCGTGCGCGCGCGTGTGCATGTGCACGTAGGCGTGGCGTGCGTGCGTGCATGCGTGTGCACGTACACGTGCGTGCGTGCGTACGTGTGGCACGTTACACGTGCGTGTATGAGTGTGTGCGTGCGTGTGCAAGTACGCCGTGCGTGCTGGCGTGTATGTACGTACATCGTACTAGTGCTGGCCCCTATCATGGAGGTTAAGCTAACTCGGGTTACAGCGTCTAACAGGCGCCTTAACTCGAGTTAGCTTTGAGCCTCGATCGCACTGGCGAGGTTAAGCTAACTCGAGTTAAGGCCCCGTGTAGACCGTTAACTCGAGTTAAGGTTCGTCGTGTAGACGTAGCTTTAAGGTATAGGGAGGAAATGCACGAATTGCGGCAGCAAATCTAAACGGCTCGACCTATAGGCTCGTGAGAGTCGGTGTATAGCAGCATGGTAAGAAAAGCCATCACTTGTGCCGAAATTGGAGTCACAGGTCAAAGGTCAGTGGGGCACAGGGCAGATTTTAGACATTTTCTGAGGACATGGTCTGACAGAGCAATTGAAAAACTTTTTTGTTTTCAGAGGTGACTAGCATTTTTATGGCTTATTGAAAGGACCATGAAATGTGCTTGCCACTGACGTGCGAAGGAGTAAAGTGTTCTGATAACTTTTGACCCTCGAGAGGAGGGTTAAACATGGATTTGTTTACTTGTTAGAAAGAATTTGACTGCCGGGTTTGCTAGTAGAATCTTTACATGCCTGGATGGTATGAGCTAGGCTACAATGTCACACTGAAATTTCAAAAGCGTAAATTTGGTTGAAGAAGGTTTATGCTCCTTAAATCGTATAATTTCTATGGCATTCTGTACTGTCAGTGTGTTACATGTAACTGTATGCACTGCCAGTGCATGTGGTGGTGGTAGTACTGTGTAGTTTTTGCCTGCATTAATTATGCAGTAATCCGAAAACGAGTTGTGATGTCGAAGCTGGGGGGTCAAAGCGTCAAGGTCATAGGTGTAAAAGAAGGGAAACATATCCTCCTTAACATTAAGCCTCGTTACACGACGAACCTTTAGTTCGAGTTAAGCTAACTCGAGTTAGCGATTATGTAGCGGTCTACACGACAACACCCGATAGCGATTATTACCGATTTTATTGTTGCATGCGTGCGTGCGTGTTATGTAAACGTGGTTCGCGGTGTGCGTGCGTGTGCACGTATAGTCGTGCGTGCGTACTGTAACGTTGCGTTCGTGCGTGCGTGCGCGTGTGCACGTTACACGTCGCGTGCATGCGTGAGTGCGTACATGTGCGTGCATGTGTGCGTGCGTGCATATGCACGATACACGTGCGTGCATGAGTGTGTGCGTGTGTGTGCAAGTACACGTGCGTGCGCGCGGTGCGCAGGTACACGTTCGTGCGTGCGCGCGCTGTGTGCATGTGCACGTTAGGCGTGCGTGCGTGCGCGTGCATGCGTGTGCACGTACACCGTGCGTCGTGCGTACGTGTGCACGTACACGTGCGTGTATGATGTGTTGCGTGCCGTGTGCAAGTACGCGTGCGTGCTGGCGTATGTACGTACATCGTACTAGTGCTGCCGCCTATCATGGAGGTTAAGCTAACTCGAGTTAAGCGTCTACACGGCCTTAACTCGAGTTAGCTTAGCCTCGATCGACTGGCGAGGTTAAGCTAACTCGAGTTAAGGCCCCGTGTAGACGCTTAACTCGAGTTAAGGTTCGTCGTGTAGACGTAGCTTTAAGGTATAGGGAGGAATGCAGAATTGCGGCACAAATCTAACGGCTCGACCTATAGGCTCGTGAGAGTCGCGTGTATAAGCAGCATGGTAGAGAAAGCCATCACTGTGCCGAAATTGGAGGTCACAGGTCAAAGGTCAGTGGGGCACAGGGCAGATTTTAGACATTTCTGAGGACATGGTCTGACAGAGCAATTGAAAAACTTTTTTGTTTCAGAGGGACCTAGCATTTTATGGCTTTATTGAAAGGACATGAAATGTGCTTTCCACTGACGTGCGAAGGAGTAAGTGTCTGATACCTTTGACCCTCGAGAGGAGGTTAAACATAGGATTTGTTTACGTTAGAAAGAATTTGACGGCGGTTGCTAGTAGATCTTTACATGCCTGGATGTATGAGCTAGGCTAAATGTCACACTGAAATTTCAAAAAGCTAAATTTGGTTGCAAGAAGGATTTATGCTCCTTAAATCGTAATTTCTATGCATTCTTACTGTCAGTTGTTACAGTGTAAACTGTTGCCACTGCCAGTGCATGTGGTGGTGGTAGTTACTGTGTAGTTTTGCCTGCATAAATTATGCAGTAATCCGAAAACGGTTGTGATTCGAAGCTGGGGCTCAAAGGTCAAAGGTCATGAGTGTAAAAGAAGGGAAACATATCCTCCTTACTTAGCCTCGTGCTACACGACGAACCTTAGTTCGAAGTTAAGCTAACTCGAAGTTAGCGAATTATGTAGCGTCTACACGACAACACCCGATAGCGATTATTACGATTTATTGTGCATGCGTGCTGTGCGTGGTGTATGTAAACGTGCGTTCGTGTGTGCGTGCGTGTGCACGTATACGTGCGTGCGTGCGTACGTACACGTGCGTTCGTGCGTGCGTGCGTGTGCACGTACACGTGCGTGCATGCGTGAGTGCGTACATGTGCGTTGCATGTGTGCGTGCGTGCATATGCCGTACACGTGCGTGCATGAGTTGGTGCGTGTGTGTGCAAGTACACGTGCGTGCGCGCGTGCGCACGGTACACGTTCGTGCGTGCGTGCCGCGCTGTGTGCATGTGCACGTAGGCGTGCGTGCGTGCGTGCATGCGTGTGCACGTACACGTGCGTGCGTGGTTACGTGTGCACGTACACGTGCGTGTATGAGTTGTGTGCGTGCGTGGTGCAAGTACGCTGTGCGTGCTGGCGTATGTACGTACATCGTACTAGTGCTAGCCGCCTATCATGGAGGTTAAGCTAACTCGAGTTAAGCGTCTACACGGCCTTAACTCGAGTTAGATTAGCCCTCGAATCGCATGCGATTAAGCTAACTCGAGTTAAGCCCCGTGTAGACGCTTAACTCGAGTTAAGTTCGTCGTGTAGACGTGACTTAAGGTATAGGAGGGAAATGCAGAATTTGCGGCACAATCTAAACGGTGCGACCTATAGGCTCGTGAGAGTCGGTGTATAGCAGCATGGGTAAGAAAAGCATCACTGTGCCGAAATTGGAGTCACAGGTCAAGGTCAGTGGGGCGCAGCGGCAGATTTTAGACATTTTCTGAGGACATGGTCTGACAGAGCAATTTGAAAAACTTTTTTGTTTCAGAGGTGACCTAGCATTTTTATGCTTTTATTGAAAAGACCATGAAATGTGCTTTCCACTGAGCGTGCGAAGGAGTAAGTG